CTTCAGGGTCACTGTGTCCCCCTTCCTCCCACGATCCTCTCCTGTCCTTCCTCTACTCTCGACCATTATTTTTTTAAAGTTTTTTAAGTTATACTTGACATACAACATTGTATGAGTTTCAAGTGTACAACATAGTGGTTCAACATTTATATACCTTACAAAGGAATCACCCTGATAAGTCTAGTAACCATATATAATTATTACAATATTATTGACTGTATTCCCTATGCTGTCCATTACATTCCCATGACTTATTTTATAACTGGAAGTCTGTATTTTTTAATCTCCTTCCCCTTTTCCTCCCATCTCCGCACCCCATTCCCCTCCAGCAACCATCAGTTGGTTCTCTGTATCTGAGTTAAGTCCCAGGGGCATTGCATTCTCTGCCCCTCCATCCCCACTTTCCAGCACTGTTTCCCTCAGGCACAGCAACCAGGAACCGTAACTTCTTTGGATTGCAAAAGGGACCAGGCACCTTTAAGGCCAGGTATCAGTGATAAGCAAAGCCCTCCTACCCATACCTGAGAGAAAAGCAAGTCCTGCTGTTTTAAACCATAGACACTTGTGGTCTCTTGTTAGAGGAGCATACCATAAACTAGCTTTATTCTGACTGATGAAATAAAGTGAGACAACAACACCTGTAGCACAAAAAAATACCAACAGCAATTACAGCTGACTGGGGGGAAATCATTAAGACCAAATTCCTTGAAAGAGCTTCCAAATTTAGCATAAAAAGCCTCAGAGATTCTCTAATGTTCCTCATTATCTACACTAATAAAAGACAAACATGCAAATTGACCATACCTTTGCTATACCTTAAGCCATGCCCACCAAGCCAATCAGAGCAACTATATGCAAATTAATCCAACCAAGATGGCTGCCGGCAGCAACAGAGCTGGAGTGAGCAGGAGGCTTGGCTGCCCCAGTGATGGAGGAAGCCAAGCTTCCCGCCTGCCGCGGCCAGCTCTGAACTCCACTCAAGGCAACAAAATTTCAATTATAGAAAATAAATAAACCCCAGATACCTGCTTTCAGCCGGCCATGGCCATGGAGCTGGAGCAAGCAGGAGGCTTGGGTT